GTTAAGAGCACTGGCTGTTCTTCCAGAGCACTCAGGTTCAATTCTCAACAGCCACATGACAGCTCACAGCTGTCTGTAGCTCCAGTTCCAGGGGATCTGATACTCTCATACAGACATCCACACAGACAAAACATCAATGCACATAAAATAAAAATAAATAAATCATAAAAATAAATAAATAAAACCTCAAAGCCCACTCCCAGTGAAATATGTCCTCTAATAAGGCCATACCCCCTAATTCTTCTCAAATAGAGCCACTCTCTGGTGACTAAGCATGCAAACATATGAGCCTACAGGGACATTCTTATTCAGATCACCACAAACATCTCAGTGATTAAAAAGACTGGCCTTTCCCCATTAGCGAAGTAAAACAGTAGATGAACCCATATTTATGAGCATCTGTGAAGAGGCATAATGCCTGGCTTCCTAAGAGTTACCGATTCCTATAGGATGCAGTTCTTGCTGCCCTAAAGCTCCTCAGTCGGGAAGACACCATCCACAAACAGTTCAAATAAACAATAGAGACTCAAATAGCATTTCAAAAATTTCAAAACAGCTGTTGTTAACAGATGAGAACAAAGTCGGTCTGGTTTTTGCAGGGAGTCTCCGCAAAACACTGGTATCATTCTGAACCCTGGTGAGTGGGCCAAGGAAGCAACCACCAACTGTCTCTTGCACTCTGGAGGTTTGTTTGTGAACCCACCTCACCTGACAGGGGCCACTTACTGTTGCTTGCAAAGGCAGGAAATATTTTAAGCATTCTAAACCTCCTTAAAATGTATTTATTTTAGATTTAAAATTTTAATTTTATGTATATGATGTTCGACCTGCGTATGCGTGTGTGCACACTGCATTCATGACCTAGTTAATCAAAAGGGGTTGGAGTCTCAGGAGCTAGAGTTATGGATGGTTTTGAGTCACTATGTAGATGTTGGGAACTGAAATCAGGCTTTCTACAGGAGCAACAAATGCTTTTCACTGCTGACCCTTCTCTCCAGCCCCTGCCCCTTTATTTGAGATTGGGCCTTGTGTACCTTAGGTTGGCTTTGAACTCACTGAGTAGTCAAGGATGACCTAGAACTCCTGATTCCCTTTCCTTCACCTCGGCGCTAGGCTTGTAAGTGTACCCTACCACACTGGGTTTTGCTGTGCTAGGACAGGACCCAGAGCTTCTGCATGTTTGGCAAACATTCTACCAACGGAGGTATATCCCTAGCCGTCTGAAACTCAGTTTTGTGAATCAAACAGAGATTCTCCCTCTCCTGTCCAGTGCAATGGCATTTCCATTGTGAATGTCATAGATGGAGGTAAGAAAACAAGTCTTGCCCAGTGAATTCAAAGCCATTTGATGGGGACACTGGAAATGCCTGCCTGGGATCTTATAAGCCCATCAGCCCCCAGCAGAAAGGGGACTTTTAAAATGCTGTGGGTGGCATCTGTGAGCTGCTGTGTCTATGCCGTATGCCCAAGTCCCCATGGGCAGGTAATCCAGGCCATGGTCACAGCTGTGGCTGTGATAGCATCACCAAGCTCAGGACTCATAATGTGCCCACAGGAGAATGAGAAGGTAAAGCCAACAGCATGCTGTCCTAATTGAGTCATATCGTATAAACCCAGAGCGAGGCTTGCTTCTCCATTCTTGCAGCCTAAGGTGAGGAGTTTCTATGCTTGCTACTGCTCGTGGGTTCGTTGTTTTATTCGAGAAGTGCTTGTTCAAATTTTTGTAATTGTGAAGATAACATGCTTATTAAAGTATTTCAAAAATGAGAACAGAATTAAAATATGCTTAATGCTATTGGCTACATTTTGACAGCTGTCTTTCTACTGTTTTTAAAATGTACTATAGAACAGGGCAAGGAGGTGCACACCTGTCATTCCAGCACCCAGTCAAGCAGGGAGATTGAGAGTTCGACGCCACCCTGGGCTCCATAGTAAATTATTTGCCACCTTGGACTAAATTGAGAGAGCCCATGTCAAACAAGGGAGCCAACAGAATTACTGCCACAACAAGCCTTTGTGCTGCCCTTTCCAGGTGGTGGAGGGAGGTTTCTGAGTTTCTGGGGGTGATGTAGGATCTAGGCAGTATCAAGGTGTGATTGATGAGTGTAAAGCGCCTGCCACTGCCCAGGTATAGGGGAAGCTGTGTATCTTAGTCGTACGGACATACATGCCTCATAGACTATGTCCGGTCCACCTCCCAGCCTCACTGCCACCTCCGTTCTTGAATATGCTGGGCCAGGATTTTTTTTCTTCTCCAGGAATGGCTCACCTGGTTTCCAAACTTCTGATCTTGGGATGAGGCAGGCAAGCTGACTACAAAGAAGGAACTAGAACTGATTTCTTGTTCTAGCCTGTTGTCTGAGGCCCTTTGGGAACATGGATGCTACGGTTGTTTGTAGTGACTTTCCTTGGTCTGGTCAAGCTGGATGTGTTGGCTTTGGCAGTTAGGCATCTTGCCTTGAGTTACACAGGCTTTCTCTCCTCAAAAGTGGTAATAGTCAGACACTGACCATTCACACCACAGAGGCAAAGCCAGCACAGGGGAAGCAGAGCCGAGTGTGAGAGATAAGAGAAGACAGACATAGCATTTAAAAGTAGTCTGAAACTGGGACTGGAGGTGTAGGTTGGTTGGCAGAATGATTGCCTGGAATAACACAACCCTAAGTTTGATTTCTGTGTTTTGTGTAAACCAAGCATGGTGGTGAATATCTGTAATGTCAGCACTCAGAGGTAGAAACAAGAGGGTCAGAAGTTCCAGGTCACGCTTGGCTACATAGTGAAGTCAAGGCTGGTTTGGGCTATATGAAGCTGTCTCCGAAGCTATCTTAAAAACAAAAAAGCAATAAAACAAAACCCAAAGTAGCCTCAAGCCTGTTCAAGTTTATGTGTGGAGAAAAGTGCCTGTGGGGTCAGATAGGAAAGGAGAACTGGCAATTGGTCTGTGCATACAGCAGGACGGTGGTTAGTTTGCTCTTGGGTCTCCTGTCTTAGGCATGTGTGCTAGGCCAGATTAGGACAGCTTTTCACCATAGTGAGCTGGAGGACAAGCAGGCATAGCATTGGGGCAATGGTAGAAAGAATGGAAAAATTTCAGGATCCTTAAAACTCCAAAGTTAAGAGAGTTGGCTAGATAGCCCAGTGGTTAAGGCTATTTGCTTCCAAGATCAGTAAAACCTCAACTCAACAAACAAACAAACAAACAAACAAACAGAACGTCCCCCCAAATAAAGGCAAACCTCAGGGAATGATGACACAATTAGAATAGCACATGACCCCGACCTGTCTGATTATGCTGCAGAGCCACCATGTCAGAGATGGAATCAGTTAATGAATGGGAGATGCCTGAGTCAAGGAGGTGCACTGGGGCTGACAACCGAAAGATCTGGAACTACCACCCGGGGAAGGGACTTTATCTAGTGGTTTATTGTCAGCCTCTTATTTAGCTAAACTAGAGATCCCTTTCACTATTGTAACAAAGAGTCTTGGTGCAAACCAGCCAGGCGACTAAACAGATGAACAGATTCTTGAAACATCCATGGAAGATCACTGGCCTTGGGGCCATATGCTGCTGTGTGTTATGAACTCATGCCATAGAGAATTTTATATTATGGAGTCAGTGGCAGATAATGGGAAGAGTTGAGGCTGTCTTGTAGTCAGGAGTGTCCTCCCTTCCTTCCCAAAGCTCATCTGGTTGAGATTCTGTAGCTCAAGCATGTGGGTGGTGTCGTCTGTGAAGGGGACGGTGAACATGTGCATTTGGTCACAGGTTTGTATTGTCTACACCCTCTGCCCGAAGTTCTGATGGGGGTGTCAGACATATGTGGATGGCTCTTAATAGATGCCAAATGAGTTTTAAGTTGGGCTGTTTGATTAAGGAAAATCTCATAAAAGTGTCATATAACCTTAACGGTGTAAATGCTGTATGATTCCAAAACTTCCACATGGGCTTAATTCTATTTTGTCTAAATGGTAGAAATTCTTAACGTTGACACCTAAGTACTGGTTGGACATCATATTTGACATGAGTTACTTTTCTTTTCTTTAAATGTAATTTGTTTAAATTTTAAAGTTCTTTGCCTGGGAAAGTGAAATGTTCACAGTTTGAAAGTCTAAAAATAAAACACCGGAGAATTGGTGCCAAAACAATGGTGTCAATCAGAAGTGCTTTCTCGATGCAGTATCAGAATGGGACTAATTACAGCATCAGCTCGTGGGGACCAGACGCTCATTGTTTTAAGCCTATTAACCACGGGCTTGGGAGACCTAAGTTCTAAAATCCTTTTAAAACTCCAGTTTTCTGATGAGTTGTGACAACCAAATATTGTGCATATGTAAGATTTGGTATGAATGGGTATGTTTCATAATGAAGCTTTTAAATCAAGCATATCCATGCCATTCTCTTGGTAGGTAGATAGGTTCCCCACATCAGCTTCCATTAAACATGCATTGTTTTTATTTTTGATTCATTTAGAAGCACATGATAATTGCTCACCCAGATCAGATTGACTAAGGTGGCTTATTGAAAATTTCTACAGAGAAGTACAAGACTGAAATCTATTAAGGAAATTGCTTTGGGAACTGGGGGAGAGGGGCAGAGCATGTGGGAACAGCTGGGTTCTAGCCTCAAGATTTCAGAAGATGTGAGGCGCCGTGAGGGAGGGTCTTGCCTCTGGAAAAGTAGTTTTCAAGCCCAAGATGCAGATAGAGAAAGAGGAAACTTCTGGAATCTCCATTTGATGGGCCTTGTTGCTCTGTGTGGTAGGGATTGGCAGTGTTCATTTCAGAAGCGTTTTGGTTTTCTGGGCTCTTTCCCTCTTCTTGGGAAGCATTTGCTGTTTATTTCATATGTAAAGTCAAAAGCACTCACAGCTACAGCTGATCAGTGTTTCCACACTATGTATAAGCCTCCTGGTAGCTTAAATAAGCAGAGTTTGAGGTCCTTTAAGTTCTAAGTATAAACTGTCCGTAATTTAATACTTATTGTGTTTTTTTCCCAACAGATGTGAATTATTAAGAAGAAAATGGCCCAACAGGACACCGTACTTCCTTCTCTTGTCAACCAGGAAGGGTATACTATCTGGAAAATATGCATCTAAGGTATAATTTTTCTTTCCATCGATCCCATGAGGGTTGCTAGGGGGTGTGAAGGTCATGATAGATGATGCCTTGTGACCGTTATGCTGTAAGGGGTCATCTTGTTTAAGGGCAAGAAGAGCATTATTGTGTCCCCCTCACAGCCCCTATAGACCACTTCATGACCCCAAAAGGTTCACAGTGGTGCTGCAATAGACTTGAACTTCCTGCCAACAGTAAAGTCACTGTGAAGCTTGAGACAAATGCTCCCATCAGCTCTTTGAAATCAGAGTTGCATATTGAATGTCTGTGGGGAAATTCTATTCACAGAGATACATTACACAGTCCGCCTATCTTAAGTTCTTTACAATGAGCCGTCATTTAAAGAGTGAGGTGACCTTACAGCCATATCTGATCTTCCTGGCTTATTTTGAAGTATCATATTGACAGCAAACAAACAAAAAAATAAAGCAAACAAGAAGACCAGACCTCATTTCCAGATGGTCTTTTTATTCATGGAACAGAATCATGGTACCCCAGGGGACATACTAGCTCTCCAAAGTCCTAGCCATCCTGACTATATCCTGTGTCATGTTTGGCCCTCATTTCTGATACTGCCTGGCCCCTGTAGGCATTGGGGTTCATAATCAGTGCTTTAGGGGAAGGGAGAAGGAGGCAGTAGCCTCTGGGGTCAGCTTGATCTGGCTATCACAGCTAATATGGGAGAGCCATGGCATGTCCATTCTGCCAGACTCCTGCTTCTTGGGGATCACAGAGCGTGCCAGCAGCCCGCTTAATTCTATGGGCACAGTCACCTTAAAGCCCTGCCTAGCTCCAGCTCCCAAAGAAAACCCTTGGATAGAAACGTTTCCTCTAATCCCATTTAGTTTGTACCTGCAGACAATTTGTATTTCTTCCTTTGGGGAGTCTTAAATCTGGCTTGGAAGATTATCTTTTTCCCAGCAACTTCGAACAGTGTGACTCCCTTCTGCAGGCGAGTGAGGACCATGCCCCGTCACAGCCAGTCCCTGACCATGGCACCCTACTCTTCTGTGAGTCTGGTGGAGCAGCTGGAAGATAGGATCCTCTGTCATGAGAAAACCACAGCAGCACTGGTGGAGCATGCCTTCCGGATCAAAGATGACATCGTCAGCAGTTTGCAGAAGATGCAGAATAAAGGGGGAGGTGACCGCTTAGCCAGGCTGTTCTTGGAAGAGCATATCAGAAACATAACCGCCATTGTGAAGCAACTGAATCGGGATATTGAGGTAAGGGGTATGCAAACCAGTGGATCATGCTGGTCTCTCAAAACCTGGGCTGTGTCAGGTTGCCCAAGTCTGAGTCCCAGCTGTCACACAGTCCTGTATGCATGCTTTTGTGTGTGCATGCTTATGCATGTATGCATGTATGCACTTGTGTATGTACTTACTTATGCATGAACAGAGATTGACTTTGGGTTTCTTCCCCTGTCGCTCTCCACATGTCCTAACTTCATTTTCATGACTGTGATAAAATACCCCAACAGAAAGCATCTTAGGGAACAAAGGGTTTATTTTAGCTTATAATTCCGTGTTACTGTCCATCATTGTGGGGAAGGTAAGGTGGGAGCTTCAAGCAGCCAGTCACATCACATCCACAGTCAAGAGCAAAGAAAAATGAGTTCATGTAAGCTGCTTTGCTTGCCCGTCAGCCTGATTTCTCCATTATCTCACAAATATCCATGGTGGATTGGCTCTTCCCACATCAGTTAACTTAAAACACACCACCCCTACACACACACACACACACACACACACACACACACACACACACAGACATGCCCACAGGCCAAACCAATGAAGATAGTCCCTCACTGAGACTCTTCTGTGATTCTAGGTTGTGCAAAGTAGACAATTAAACTATATCAACACTATAGGCTTAGATTTTTCAAAATCTACTTTAATAAGGGTTCTTAAAGGCTTCAACCTCCCTTCTAGCCTACCACTCACCAGAGGTAGGGGAAAGAAAGGTTAATAAGAAACAGGGGTTGTGGACCTGTTTAGAAATAGTTCTTTGGGGCAATTCCATCTTCATTGTGAGCAATCCAGTCCACCAGCAAACACTCGAATCAGTCCTAGCAGCTCAATCCAGAAGAAACCAAGAGGTGGAAGCAGCAAGAAGCAGCCAGAATAGAAGCAGCTGGAACACCACCAGAAGTTCCTTGGTGCTTTTCTCTCTATGAAGTCATGCCAAGCTAAGATCAGTGAAGAAAGCAAGGCAAACCAATGCCAGAGTGTCATCAGCAAAGCCCAAAGAAGACCAGCAAAGAGTTGCAAAGTGAAGCAATGCAAGAGCATCGTCTACTGTCTGTTGGGTTATACTCTTTCCAAATACCATGTGTCCTCTCAAGCATCTGCTCCAGCAAAACATCATATGCTCCTTCACCAGGCAACTTCCAGACAAACCCCATGTCCTCTCACGTGTCTGCTTCAGCAAAACATTCTCTTGTAAGACAATTTCCAGGAAAACATCATATGACATAACTGAGTCTTTAACAAAACCAGAAATTCCCACCTCACACCCCCTAGTTTTTGAGACAGGGTCTCTTACTGACTCTGAAACTGACCTTTTTGGCTAGATTGGCTCTGGTCAGCAAGCCAGAAATCTGCCTGTCTCTGCCTCCCAGCTTTGGGATTACAGGTACACACCACCACACTTGGCTCTTACACGGATGGTGTGGATCGAAACTCAGCCCATCAGTTTGCACAGCGCTCAGTTAACGAAGTGAATCATCTCTCCAGCCCTTCCCCCCTTTTGTGATGTAAGCTCACTGTATAGCATAGGCTGGCTTTGAATTTGTACCTTGTATCAGTCTTCTTCCTGCCTCTGTCTCACAAATGCTGGAACTTCAGGTACTTGGCACTAGACCTGAGCTGTCTATCTTGTCTATTATTACTAGGTATTTTTAGAACAGGATATTATGTAGCCCAGGCTGGCTTGACCTCTATGTAACCAAGGATAACCTTAAACTCCTTATATTTCTGTTTCTACCTCTTAAGTGCTGGATTATAGGTGTGTACTACTCTGCATGGTTTCATGGTGTTCAGGGGACCCAAACTAGGCTTTGGTGCTTGCTGGGAAAGCACTCCATCAACTGAGATATATCCTCCAACCCTAGGTTTACTTTAGGACAGGGTCTCATGTGTCCCAGTCTGGTCTCAAACTCACTATATAGCCAAGGCTGTCCTTGAACTCCTGATCTCCCTGCTTCCAACTTCTGGGATTAAGACTGTGTACCACAGGGCTGGAAAGTTGGCTCAGTAGTTAAAAGTGCGTGCTTCTCTTGCAGAAGACCTGGGTTTGACTCCTAGCACCCACATGACCGCTTATAGCCTCTAGTACCTCCAGTTTCAGGAGGTCAGGTGCCCTCTTCTGGCCTCCTCGGACACCAGGCATGCAAGTGCACATTCAGGCAAAATACGTATACTCATAAGCTAAAAATAAATAAATATTTTAAAAAGAATACTTTGCCCTGTCTCTTCTTTTTGCTTTTCTTTTTTTAAAATAAGTTATAGCTTTTATTTGTGTGTGTATGTGTGTTGGCATGTGTGAGTGCATGTACCATGGTGTATGTATGGAGATCAGAGAGCACATGCAGGAGTCAGTTTTATCCCTCCACCATGTGAGACCTGGGACTTGAACTCAAGGCATCAACCTTAGCAGCAAGCACCTTTACCTGCTGAGCCATCTTGCCAGCCCTGCCTTGTCTATTCTTAATGATCACCAAGGAAACTGCTTGCAGGAGTAGCAGAGTTATATTAAACTTACTGCAGTATTTGATGGCAATTACTGTCAGTGCTATGTGTGTTTATTCTAAATTTACCTTGCTGATTATTAAATCACTTTGTTTTGTTTGGCTCTCAGTTGAGAACTAGACAAAAAGTTTTCCTGTAAACTCTTTCATGCCTCTGAAGGCAGTACCTCTGTTACCAGATCAGCCCAGGCTGCTCCAGAGGAAATGTTTCTGGGCCCAAATGATTCTACAGCCCACGCTGTATTATTTGGGTGGCTTAGGCGTTTGAATGGGTTTTCACACTCCTTTATTTGGTCTGACATAGAATCAAGATGAGGCCAAGATGGTCTATCCTTACAATTTGCACATTTATTTCTAATTTTGAATTAACTGCAGGGCCCATGCAATTTAGGAGTGGCCTGGGCTTCCATCTCCACACAAGGTCAGATAGCCAGCCGGGAACCCTTTGTTTCCTGTTGGGGGTTGTGCTTAATCTTGCTTCTCTAGCTAGATTTATGTTTTTGTTTATTTGTTTAGAGGCAAGCTCTCACGAGGCCTAGGCTGCCCCTGAAGTTTCTAGTAGCCTAGGATTGACCTTCTGCCTCTAGCCCCTGTGTGCAGGAATTGCAGGTGTGTACCACCATACCCTGTTTAGGTAGCACCAAATGAGCCCAGGGCTTTGTGCATGCTAGGTCAGCATGAGCTAATTGAATTACATCTTCCAGACCCTGGACTCGTATTTTTTTCAAAATTGCTTTATTGAAGTCTAATTTATATGCCACAGAAATCCACCTACCAGTATACAAATTAAATGAGTTTTAGTAAATTTATAAAATTGCACAACCATTAACACTGTCTAATTTTAGAACATTGCCATTATCCCTTCCCCAAATTCATAGGAAATTGTAGTCCTGCCCCCAGCCTCAGGCAATCATTCATGTATGTACTCCCTCCATTCTTCCTTCCCTCCTTCTTTCTTCCCTCCCTCCCTCCCTTCCACACTCCCTCCCCACTACCCTTTTCCTTTTCTTTGAGACAACGTCCCACATGTCCCAGGCTGGCCCTAAACTCACTATGTACAGCGCTTTGCACATTCTGGGCAATGCTCCCCCACTGAGCGCTTCCCCAGCCTGCATGTTAATGTTAGTGAAGTCCACCTCATCTTGCTTTTCTCTTCTATGGTTCATGCTTTTAGTGGTATGGCCTAAAACCTGTTTTATTACTAACCCAAGGTTACAGAGGCTCTCTGCTGGGCTTCCTGCCAAACGCATAGATTTTTGAGTTGGTAAATGGAGTGAAGTGAGGTAAGGCATTTTTTAAGTAGAGCAGACTGTGAGCATCTCAGGTAAAAGCTGTCTTGTTCATCTTCCCATTGTTGAAGCACAGCGTTGAAAGGCAGTTGGGAAGGCTGTCCGGGTCCATTTGTGCTGCTGTGGTAAAGTACTGGAGAGTGGTTGACTTACAGAGAATAGAATTTATTTAATATGTGTGTGCGCTTGCGGTAATGTATTTATGTGCAGGTGGGCGTGAGAGCACGTGGGGCCAAAAGACAACCTTGGATGTCATCTCTCAAGCTCTGTACCTCTCTGTTTTTTTCTGAGGATCTCTTACTGACCTAGAGCTCCCCAAGTAGGGTAGGTCGGATGGCCAGTGAGCCCAAGGATTTCTTTTGTCCCTATCTCCCCGGTGCTGGGATTACAACTACTCAACTACCATGCCCAGATTTTTTTTTTTTAATGGATTCTGGGGACCAACTTTAAGTCCTTGTGTTTAAAAGAAATTCTTCAGTGACTGAGCTGCCCCTCAGCTTCCACGGGTCCTTTAAAATGAAGGTCCAGGATCCGTTCTTGTAGATTCTGTCCTTGTAACCTCCTCCCATGGCCGTGATGAAGACTGACCTTCAACACGGGTTTGGGAGAGTGCATGCTTATCTAAACCAGAACGAGGCTTATGAAACAGAGACATGCTCAGTTTGGAGTGAAGGCAGGTGTCTGGTTGCTGTAGATGCAATGTGCCTCTCTTTCAGGTCACTATAAAAGTGACCCACACTCGTCAGCTGGAGTGCTGAGACTAAAATCATCCCCTCTCCCCAGGGTGCTCCTTTCCCTTTTCCATTTTGCCCATTGGGAGCTCATCTTGAACCCTGAACTTTTATTTCTTCGTTTGTATTTAAGACACCATGTCTTGTAACCCAGGTTGGCCTTGAAGTAGCAACAGAGAATGGCCTTGAACTTGTGGTCCTCCAGCCTCCATCTCCCAAGTACTGGCTGCACACCCCATAGAGTAACACTTCAGACTTAGCTTTGTAAATTCAGAGTTCTAAGGACTGGGGTGTAGCTCAATGGATAGAGAGCCAGCCTAGTATATAGGAAGTTCAGGGTTGGATCTCAAACACAACAGAAACTGGGTGTGCTGGTGTACACCTATAATCCCAGCACTTGAGAGGTAGAGACAGGAAAAATCAGGAGTTCAAGGTTATCCTTGACTATATAACAT